TCCATTTCCCCCCTGTGGCAGAGAAGGGGGAAGGATGAAGCCCGAGAGCGTACGCTCGTTAGCTTTTTGTCTGCCAGCAAGCTGGGACTGTGCCTTCCTCTGGCTGTTATAAAAGGCCCTCATTAAGTAATCGCATTTCTCTTGCATAAGTGCTTGTTTTTGGGAGGCGTTAGCCAATCGGAGGCTGCAGCTCGCAGGCAGAAAGCGTGTCTAACTACCATGATTGTATTATTTTTTTTATTTTTTTTTTTTTTAATACTGCCTGATTATTAATCTGCTGAAAGTTGTATAAAATTGCCTCGCTAGATAAGGTCGAGTGGCGGAGACTGCCCAGCGCTGGTGGTAGCTGAGCTACGGCTGTACGGCGCTGCCAAAAAAGCCTCTGTGGATCCTCGTGAGTAATATTTCTGGTTCTTCTAAAGTGTGTTTGCGGCCGATAACTGCAGGCGGGGAAATAGTGCAGACGTGTATTGCCGGCAATAAATTAGAGGGAGGCAGGAGGTGAGAGTCGGTGGTGAAACTATTGACCAGTTTAAAAGAAAAATAAAAAAAAAATAAGGCTTTTCTCCTAGGCTTCCCTAAGCAAGTGTGGGTTTCTCTGTGTAATCAAGTCTCTTCCAAACACGCTGATTTAAAACAAACAAAAAAAAAAGAAATGTGGTCAATTCAATCACAGGACTGTCGGGGGAACATAGGTTTGGGCTGAGAGTGAGATGAAAGGACTGTTTACTGGTGTGGAGTGGTGAAAAGTCCATCTTCATGGCAGGACTATAGGAATAGGATAAGTGTACAGTGATATTTCCTCTCCTACATTTTCCTGGCTTTCAGAAATGTGCAGGTCCGTTACTTCATGAGTCAGAAATGATGTCTTTAATAATACAAGTCGATTTCTCTTTGCAGAATTTACTAATTCAGTGTGTCTGTTTGAAGGCAATATGTTGTTTTGGAGATTTGACTGACACAAATCCCAATTGGGATTGGATATCTTGAATTAAATGAGCTCTTCCACATAGGATTTTCATTTTTTTTTTTTTTTTTTTGTCTAAAAAAGAAAAGTGTGGTTTTCTGTTATGGTTGAACTGAAAATGGAAAAGCTTGTACGGATTTACAGAAAACAGCATTTCCCTTCCCACTTCCTTGTGATATATCTGGATGCAGCTCAGCCCACGAACAAAGCCCGGAACTATAAAACCATCCACTGAAGTGGGGACTGGAATTTATTAGTTGGATGCTGAGCGGCTTGGAACAACTCGGCTATTATTCCTGCCAACCCTGGAAGGCGTTGAAGTGCCATTGTATAGAGAAGGCAGCTCAAGTGCCGAGCTGCGAGGGGAAATAAAGCCGTTGCCTATAGTGTAGATGCGTGTACGCTGACTCTTACAGGCGGCACAAAAATTTTCCTTGATAGAAAAATGTTGAACTAATGGAGATTACTTGGAAGAGCTCAAGTGGCTACTTAGAAGCCTTAACCAAAAAAAAAAAAAAAGGTAGATTTTACAATCTATAAAGTTCTTGAGACCTTCTAAATTATTTAAATCTTATTTGCAGCTGGTAGATGAGGAGGTAATACTGCCAAGAAAAGAAGTGATTATTTTTGTAGGAGTTACAGGATTCGAGAGGTACGTGTGAAAAGCTATACTGAACTTGGCTGCAAAGCCAAAATTTAATTTTTTTTTAATTCCTGCTTCCTAAAAGAGGGCCAAATTGATAGGTCTGCTTCAGCAAAACTGCAATAGTGACGTAAGATAAACTGGAATCCCTCTTTTACACTTGCTGGCTAATTATTTAGACCTTTGAAAGCTTTGCAGTACGTCTGTAGGCAAACCTGAGCGATGTCCCTCGCGCTATGCCGGTGAGGGATGGCTTCCCATCTCAACCCTGTGACCCAGCGAGGCCTCTTCGCTTCCCTGCTTTCGGGGTTATCCAGAAAGCAGGGGGTTTTCCCACCTGTTTGTGGTGTTTGCTCTCCATCCGAAACTTATCCGGGGGGGTTCTTTAACCATTACAGTGCCAGGGGCTGGCAGAGGGAGGTAGAAGCCAATCTTAGGGTGGTTCCCCCCTCATCGGGTCACTTCATGAATGTGGGGAGTTTTTCAGTCTTAAAAACCCATGAGGGACCATTAGAGATGCTACCACTATAAATCCTTAAGCTGCTGGAAGGGCTGGGGAAGTAACTCTTGCTTGCCCTGGTTTTGGGTTATTTTCTGGGTTGCTGACACTGACTGCTGTCAAAAGGATGCTGGGTCAAGGAAAGATGCTCCTAGCCCGTGCAAGAGCTCTCTTATTTGTGGGGGTTTTTTTCCCCCTGAGAACTAAAAGTTAGCAGTGAAAACTGGGGAATTCACCGTGTTATTTCTAAAATGGTCTCTGGGATGTGGAGCAAACCCAGGCGTATATCAGGGTAGCCAAACAATATCTCTACATTTTATTTTTTTTCAGGGTAAAATGGACGCTGTACACAAGGTGAAGATTTTTGTGATGTTTCTGTCTCTGGCTACTTTCACCGTCATGGTGATACTGAATGCCGGGAATGCCACTGGGATATTCAAAGGTAAGGCAAGCAAACCGACTTTGTTTGGAGAGGCGGGTTTGGTGCGTTCTGTCTGTTAAATGGTATGAGGCGCCTTGGATGAGAGAGAGCTCTCTGTCACCTCATTGCTTCTCCAAATGCACCTTGGTCTGTGAAAGATGGGAGTAGGTGGTGCATCCTCCAGGTGTTAGCGCCACGTGCCTGAGCCCTCTCCTGTCCCTTGAAATCAAAGTAGATGGTCTTGTCCCTGAAGAACCTGGATCTAGTGGTGGGTCTTTGCGTGTGTTGTCCTTGTATCCCTGGGGAAAGGCGTTTTGGGCTGCTGCTGTGGGTTACAGAGGGCAGCGGTGCTTGGTTTGAATCTGTTGGAAATGGACGTCGTGCTTCTTTCTGGCTTTCACTTAAAACTGGCTTTTCTGGCTCAGGGTTCCCCATAGGGACAGCGATCCCATAACGGGTGTCCAAAGGCAAAGTCAACAACAAGCAGCACACGGCTTGTTTTCACCAAGGGCATCCTCTCGCTTCCCTTGGATCCATGGAGGTGTGGACTAAGCCTCGAGGAAGATTGCAGGGTGAGGGAAAGCGGCGGTCTTTCCCCACCCTTGGTGTGTAGTAACACTTTTTTTTTCTTCCTGCAATAACGTTCCCCACTGCAGGTCTGTTCAAGTCAACCCCTGGAAACATCTCGGCGAAGTACAACACTGACTTCACACCAGCTGGCTGGACTTTCCTCATCTGGAATGTCATCTACGCCTGGCAGCTGGCCTGGCTTCTCTATGCCTTGTCAGGGATCTGTCGAAGGTATTTTCCCTGCTTATGCTATAAATGAGGGAGAGCAGCTCTTCCCTTCTGCAGCTCAGCCTCCTGCCCTCCTTTTCTGGGGCTTCTAGTCAGAGTGAACCCACTGCCATTCCTCTTGACTTGACATACTGAAGCGCTGCTGCTGGAGCATCTTTTAGGTTCAGCATCCAAAGCTGGGAAGCACTTTGGAGGTGTATATGAGCTGCTCTAACACGTGGACAGGTTACAAAGGTTGTAAACTCTTCTGTGGGGCCTGATTTCCACCAATTCACGTGATCTGACAGACTTACCCAGTACCTGCACTTAACCACTGCTAGATGCTGGGAATCCACGGGGGCAAAATTAATGAGTTTGCGGAGCTACTGCTTTGACTTTACTCGCTGCTAGAGATCAGAGAATTGGTGCTGGGAAGGCTCTTGGGTGGTTGAACTGGACTTGAAGCTTCTTCCTGGAGCTATGAGATCAATGACTGCCTCATGCAGTACAACGCAATATCCATAATATTCTGCGGTGTCTCCTGTGGGATTGACTTTGCGGCCGTGTTGTTGAGGGGGCCCATGGACTGCTTAGTTTGGGTCTCGTGCATCTCCTGCCTTCACATGACATGTAAGAAGTCACACAGTTGATACTGGTCAACACTGAAGGTTGAGGGAAGAATGAAGTATGTGTTTGTACAAGAGTGATCAAGTCCATATACATACATGTATAACATAACATAAATATATATAGACATACCCCCTCACACTACTATCCCATGAGCTTTTTTTCCTCCAAGAACCGGGCTAACATCCCCTCACACTACTATCCCATGAGCTGCTTTTTTTCCTCCAAGAACCGGGCTAAAATGTCATGACCATGCCATTGCTAGTGCCACCAGCGGCACAAGCTTTGCAGCATCCATGGCACAGTTCAGTGCCCACTGAACCTGTGATGGAGCGGAGACCAGCAAGAAGCTCTGTATGATGGATGACATTCTGATGGGGAAAGCCACAGGGACTGTACCTTGTTTTGGTGAAGGATGCAGAAGAGAAATAGTCTGATTTTTAAGCTGAAATTTTTAACACCAACGTAGAGTACCTGTTAGTACGAGGAAAATGAGGCCAAGAAAGTCTGGTTGGTCATGGGCAGGTGTTGTTTTCCTTCCTCCATATCCACTTTTTTCCTGGCAGGAATGAACTTGGATGTGTCTACATCAAGCCAGACTTGCTGCCAATACATTTTTACGTGATGTGGATTCTGAATAACGGCCTCAATGTTGGGTGGCTGTTTCTGTGGGACCGAGAGTAAGTCACCTTTTGTTACAGATGCTTTCTAACCCTCTTGTTGGGACTGCCCCGATACTTCATTTTGGCCTTGCCCCTATGTGTGAATGCTTCATCACACCTGTAAAACTCCGCAGCAGGCCTTGGCAAAAGGTAACTTTCATAAAAGTTTGGGGGTTTTGCATGATTTTGTCTTGTCCATGAGGCAGATCAATTATTGAAGTCTAAGATTTCCTCAAAGCTGCTGTTTTCCTGGGGTTTGGGTTTTGTTTTTTTTTTTTCTTCCCCCACAGGTAGGACAAGAGCCATGCCTCTCTTCATAAACACAATTAAGCTCCTTGCCTGGGATTGTTTTCATAATCATGGTCACATGAAGGGCTTATAATAGCACTGCTGTCAAGAGGTGAAGAAATCAGTTGCAGTCAGGAAAATAATAACTTTGTGATTAACAGAGTAAAACAGCAGCGTGTCAAAATGAGGGTTATATGTGGTGATTACCTTCATTAAAGGCTGATTAACTTAAAGTCAGTAAAGGCCCAGCGCTAAAGCTATGAATTAAGGCATTGTGACACCACTAAAAAAAACCACCACCCACCAATGTATTGTACACTGCGTGCGTGTATTCTTTGTCCTAGATACCTCCTCCCAGCCCTGGTGTTCCTGGCAGCCCTGACCTTCACCACGTGTGCCGCCCTCTTCGTTTCCCACCGGGCGCTGAGCATCCATTCCTCCTGGTTTGTGAAGGGTCACAAAGCTGAGCTCTGGCTCATCCGCATCCTGGTAGGTGGCATTTGGGAAGCTGTCCTGTTGGTAAATGCTTAAAAAAAAAAAAAAAAACCAAACCCCAAACAAAAACAACCCCAAACCAAACAAACCCTCTGCTGGCGGTATTAAGAATGAAATATGGAATGACAGGAGATGGGTAAGGGAAGACTTCTGCTCCGATTTTTAACTTGTGCCTGCTGCAGGGACACACAGGTTTAATTGCACCTGAGTTTCCTCTCGGACATCACCAGGAATGGTTCAGAGCAAGGTGTATCCCTCGTATTTCCCCAACTACTATAAAATTAAGTTTTCAGTGATGTACAAGTGATGTACAGTGATTTCAGCCTGGACTTGTTTGGAGTGGGGAGAAGAACATTTCTTGCAGCGGGAGAAGCTGTCACTAAGGGTGGTTTCTGTTGTTGTAGCTGATGGTGACGTCCCCAGTATCTGATGACAAAAAACTATACATTTCTTATATGGGGAAGTGTACACTGCTCAAGGTTTCGAATGCAGACGCCTTTCTGAGGTTTTCCAAATTCTGGAAGAAAGTGACTTTGCTGTGTCTGCGAAGAGTGGGTGTGTGTTTGCCAAACCACACAGAGAAAATAAGATAAACATACTCATACTCCATCACTCCTTGATTCCCTCCTTGTGCCCCCCTCCTAACTCAAACCTGCTACCCCCAAACCCTTCTTCCCCACCCAGGACACCCTCACACTGCAGTTCCTCCCACGACTGTGTGTGCTTTAACCACCTTTTGGTTCCTTTGCTTTGGTGAGAAAGCATGTCAGCCGAAAAAGCAAATCCAAAGAGCCAGAAAGGGTTTCTTTTGAGGTGGCGGGGCGGGGGGGGGAGTCTGCAGATCTGAGAGGTTCTGCAACAGCAAAGTTCCCACCAACCCTGCTGGAGATGTGTCTACATCTCTTGGCACAAACTGGGAGTGGGCTCTGGTCTTTACGCCCCGATATTGCATTTCCGGAGACACCAGTATCATTCTATAATAAATAAAAATAAATGATATAAATAATATTAGTTATTATAAATAATAATAAATGGTAATAGCTGTGTTCCCCCTCCTCCCTCAGAAGTGACTCCAGCCCTTGATATTGCCTGCTTCAGGCTCCATGCTCTCATGTTTGCTGGGAGGGTGTTGAGATTCAAAAAAACCAAAACCAACCAAAAAAAACCCCCAAACCCGTTCTCTCCACCAGTTATAACAGCCTGAAACACCTGGGCTGGGGCAGCCAGAGCTCTGCGGTTTGGGATGTGGATGGGAAGTCCCCACTGGGGTTGCAGGGCTTCACACAGGGAATTCTGCAGCTGCCACTGGAGTGGATCTCTGGGATACTTTGGGGACTCCAAGGTGTCAACTCTTCTCCATGTTGAGGGACTTCCCCTGCAGCTAGGTCCAGAAGGCTGGCTTCACTGCCCCAGGACCTACGGGTCACAAAAGGAAAGCAGGAATTTAACTTTTTTTATCACTTCTCATCATCTTGCTGTGCTACGTGGCAGGTCCAGAATGGGCTGGCGCTGTACGCAACCTGGACCACCATCGCCACTCTGCTGAACTTTGCCGTTGTGTTGATCTACAAGTGGAATGTGTCCAACGAGACAGCAACGACTGCTTCTCTGAGCATCCTTGCTCTTGCCCTAGTAATATGGTAAGCAACCTCATGGGTTCCCACCAAGCCTGGAAGACCCCTCCACCTCTCACACATGGCTTGGACCATCTGGCCCAATTAATTTGGCCATTCGTTCCTAGACTGTCCCTGTAGTGACACTGAGTACAAAGGCCTCTGGTATAATTCATGGCAGGTGAACAGGGAGCATGGGCAGAGCTTTTCTTTCCCAACCCTCAGCAATGCCAATAAGCACGTGCTGTGGGTCAAGAACAGGTCATCATGACGTGCACGAGCCCAACGTGCCCTAGGTTTGCAGGTAAGGGCTTGATATGGAAAAACATATGAAACATGGCTTTATTTTTTTCCATAAATATGCCTCAGGCAACTTCTTTGTTAGTCTTTTGAATTTTAGTAAATGAACAATTTTGGACTCTAGTCCAAACTAGACTAAACCCATTCTTCGGCCAATTCCCTTAAACTTTCTATGGGGGAAAAAAAAAAAAACCATACAGAGAAAATGCTTACTTTAGCCTCTCTTTTTTTTTTTTTTTTGCCTTCACAGGTTTTACCTGGAAAACTTCTTTCTTGACAAGTATGTCCGCTATAACCTCACAATCTACCCAGTGGTCATAATAGCTCTGACTGGCAGCGCCTGCAAGAACTTCTCGCTTTCGTCCCCGACGACAAACGGCATTTTTATAGGTGAATCTCTTGTACTGTTTCCAACTCTTTTAAAAGAAGGCCAGTGAACACTTCCACATCTTTCCTGTGTGTTAGGGGCAGAAAGATAGACTTGCCTTTTTGAAAAGTGTTGTTTATAAGAAGCAGAACTAAGGGATTTATTGGAAAGTATTCATTTTGCAAAGTTAAGAGTAGAGCAGAAATCGTTGCCTGTGATCCTTGGGGCTGGATTCAAACCTTGTGTTGCCTCAGGCTCCTTCCCCGGTGCTCTATGTTTGCCCTACGACTCTCCATCATCCCCTTGGGCCCTCCGCTGGTAGCTCCATCTGATGCAGGGCTGGGATGAAGGCTGAGGACGTCCATTTGCCCTTCGTCGTTTGCGATATCGGAGCAGTGCAGAAGCTTCCGACCTGAGGAGGGGTTGTATCTCAATTTCACAACGCCAAACCCTGCACGTGCTCCCCTCCTACGCAGAGCTCCAGCTAGCCTGAACAAGTTTTCCCGGGATTATTTGATTGCTGCAGGCCACTGGAGCCGAGCGTAGTCATCCATTGTAAAAGGGCTTAAGCTGTCCGAATACACAATCACAGCCTGGCAAAAGCTTACGCCATCATGAGTAGTTTCATGCTGGTACGAAAGGGACTGAGCTGCCTGAACTCCCAATCCTTCCGTAGCAGTTTGAGATGCCTGTTTGCACCGTAGGGTCAGCAGAAGTGTTGGGTTGATGGTTGGACTTGATGATCTTAAAGGTCCCTTCCGACCTAGACGATTCTATGTTCCCACCCTTCAGGCATCCCGCCGCCACATACCAGTGGCTAAAGCTAATTTCTGGACTGGCACCACCATCACAGCCACTCTGGTACGCGTTCCCTTTTGCTGTAAGGGCAACTGGAGCCAGGTAATGCCTAAAAGGCAGAGGATTTGGCAGAGCTTGCCTGCCAAAGGCATGAGGGCACTGGAGACTCACCTCCTGATGGTTGTGGCCACCAGGAATGTGGAGGTATGCCTGATGCCCGGCAGAGAGCTGCGTTCCGGCAGAAAGGTGCACTTCTACCAGCACAACGTCATCCTTTAGTGGTTCAGCTTGTTCGGCTGGTAGGGCAAGAATGCTTTTCCCAAACCAGTGCGCGTTTCTTTATGTAGTCCGACTATTCTTGGAGTGTTTGGTTAATGTAATGCGTTTTTTATTCCTGTGTCCATAAACTCCTCCACACCTTTTAGACATGCCTTGACCTGGAATATTGGGTGAGTTTGACTGGATATCAGTCAACCTCTGTGAAATACAACTCTGATGGGGGGTAACGGCTCCTATACAGAAAGGGGGTCTCTTTCTTTTTCCTCTTCCCCTGTGCTGGGGTATGATAAGAGGCACCTCCTCTCATGTGCTGCTGCGCTTCTGTGTTTCTTCTCCAGTTTTTCTGCTGGCGATAACTTGCTTGATCTTCACTGTGCGGCTGGGACTAGTCACGTGGAGGCACTGTAAGAGACCACTGGAAGCATCAGAAGCCCCAGACCCATCAGGCATAGTGGCCTGAGACCTCTGGTACGTTGTGGCAGATACTTTGAAGGGAGAAAAATGAATTGGGCATCTGCTGGTCCTTCTTTCCAGTACTGATTGCCTTGTGCTCTTCTCTAACTCTTTCCATTCCGAATGCAGATGGCTTGTGTCTGCAAACCTGTCCTGCTCCCACGTTCCCTCACCTACTCGCAGCCCCCCACCTTGAATCTGCATCCCCCTTCATTTGGTTTGACTCCGGGTCAGTGCAGGGGAAAAGTCCTTCAGCTTTGTGGTGGCTGAGCTGCAGCTCTCCACTCCTGCCAGCGCAAGGAGGGCTGTCACCAGCCTCTCAGCAGGCTTCCACAGAGACACGCTCACATTCTTCCCTTGGGAGTTCATTCTTCTTAAAGCACAGCTCGAAGTGAACTGTCCCTGGGAGTGAAGGTGAGCGGCGGGAGGTCCGTCGTTGGTTTGGCCATTCCCTGCTGGGTATCTGCATCTGGGCATCACACCTGATGGTGTGAGCCAATCCGCGGGCAGCAACTGTTCCCTTTTTCCTGCTTTTTCCCCCCCCATCATGATGGGAACACATACTACAGCTCTAGAGGTCTACCTTTGCAGTATCAGCTCTGATGCTCCAAGGAGGGGAGGAGGAGTGACTGAATACCTCTCACACAATTGCAAGCCTTCAACCTGCTAGAAGTAGGTCTAGAACCTGAAGATGCTTTCGCTTTTCAGCATGCAGTAAGACATCTGGGTCTCTGCACTGTTTTTTTTTTTCTTTTTTTTTTTTTTTTTTTCCTGACTCTCTCTCGGTTAAATTAGTTACCACGCGCCGTTTGTGCTGGCTGCGTGCCTCCTGTGGGAGGACGGCTCGTAGCCGCTCCGGTGGGAGGTTAGGCGTACAGATGAGATGATACCTGATCTGGGGTGAAGCCTGCTGCTTCAAAGGAAGCAAAAAGGAAAAAAAAAAATTAGAAAAGAATTACTTGAACCGGTAGAGTGAGTTCATCCTGGATCAGTGCTTTCTCATGTGGCTTCACTACTACTATTTAGGAAGCCTAAAAGTGGATTGACTGAACTTTTGGACCACTGCCTCTATTTCTTGTGCTGATGGTGCCTCACTGGTGTCTGGAAAGTGTTCCTACATGGCAGGAGATTTCAAATGCTGAATATCTTGCAGTATTGCTACAAAGGTGAATATTTTAGAATAAACGTGTGCTATTGTTTACACTTAAAGAGAAAAATGCGATTCCTCTTGTTATTCCATCATGCTCTTATTTTCAAATAAAGCTCTGCCTTGCAAGACCCCAGCTAGCAAATTCCCACCAGGCTCTCTCTAAGCCACCTTCTTTAATACAGGGGTATTAAACCCACCGGTGTGTGGATTTAAGGGGTCTGGGCCAGGTGAGTAATGCACAGGGATTCCCTGGAAGGTTTTGCATCCTCCCAAGCAAGAGCTTCACGAAGGGGTCCTGGACCAGGGCAGCTGCACTGCCTTTCCATGGCACACTTAAATAAAGCCATCAGGGGGTTTCTCGGTGTCTGTACTGGCCAAAAGACTAGAAACTATACTTCAGGCTACAACTAATGTATTAATTAGCCGGGGAGAGTCAACAGGGCTTCTGTAGAGAGAAGTCATGTCTCGCCTCTCTTTCTCTGAAGGATTCAAAAAAACATGTAGGTAAGGGTGAATTCTTTGATATTGCTATTGGCTTCTAAAGAAGCTCAAGAGCTGTGGTATAAAAGGCAATGTTTCCCCTGAAGTGATTAAGGCTGGGAAATAGAAGGGGTGTTTCTCTCCAAGAAGGGATGTTGCTGGTGGCCACGGTAGACCTGGGCTAGATAACATAATCAGTGAAAGACATGGGATGGTTTGGTTTGATGATGGACGGTTATTTAGGATGCTAAAGGAGAAGGTTGGGGAATAGCAAAAAAAAAACCCTCTTATGAAACCAAAAGGTGGATGGAAGTCATTGTAGGAATGTACCAAAGGATGCATAAGGGGGAAACCAGGCTGCACCTCACCTTCCATGTGACGTGCTCCAAGCTGACCCCTGCCACTTGGGTGTGAGAGGTTGGTGCTATGGTAGCCGTTCTTTCCCAAATATTTCCACATCTGGCAGCAGTAGAGGCAAACCATATATCAGGGATGGTTAGGAAAGGAGTAAAATTGAGAACATCCTTGTGCCTCTCTAAAGCTACTGTGCCCCCACATCTTGAGGGCTTTGTGCACTTCGGGTCCTTGGATTTCCAGGAGATTTGTTAAGGACTTGGGAAAGGTTTGGAGAAGAGCAATGGCATCGGGGAGCGTGATGTCTCCCTGCCCATCCGTGCACCTCAGAGCTGAGGAGCAGCTTGGCTGAGGAGGGGTATGAGCCCCTTCCCCATGGCCACCTCACTGTGCATGCTCTTCACCCTGCTCTTGCCGCTCTGAAACGAGCTGCGAGGAGACCCTCAGAGGTCTCTTTCTCAGTGGCGATGAGGTGCCGCAGCAGCACCCACTTAATCTTTTTGCAGACCTCCCTGCCAGAAAGCCGCTGGCAGCTGCCCCAAAAATGCTCAGGCTGAGCTAGCCCCAACCCCCATTTGGCCACCTACAAATAAGCTCCTGGTTTCCCCCAAACCCTCTCCAAGCACTGTTTCCCAGGAGCTGGGGCAGGCAGAGCTCCAACCAGCTTTGGGAAAAGTGGCTTTCCTTGCATCTGCGTGGGAACAGGAGCCTAAAAATACCCTGCCTACCCCTTTTTCTTTCAGCTGGAGGAGGGGAAAGAGGGACGAAAAATAAGAGTGAACCTTCCCCTTCCAGCCTTGGGGCTAAAGATAGCCCCAAGGCTATTTTTAAAGGCCTTTTTTTTTTTTTTTGGTCTTTTTTTTCCCCCTGTATAATGTCTGTCTTTTTTTTTTTTTAACTTGTTTTCAAAAGCCACTGATAGGCAGCGTTACCCACAAGAGATTTTTCTTTCAGCAAAGCTGCATTTCATGGAGCTGGCAACCCGCCAACTTTTTAGCAAAAAATAATAAAAATTATTGGCCCGGCCTTTGTTTCCATGAGAGATTATAGGATTTGGGTGAATTTTACTGGATTTAAAATTTCTTGGAAAGCCGGCGGCCTTGGGAACCTAAAGCCTGAAAAATTAGTTTTGTTTCTGAAAAGGCAATTCAGAGCCCTGGCAAATGGTTGCATGTGTCTCCTAGCCCGGCTGGGGATGTGACATGAGTCCCCTGGGCCACCTCGCCTCCCCCTGGGGCTAGAAGATGGATGGGGCTGGCAAAGTTCCTGTTTTCTGATACCAAAAGCTGGATTTACGCTTGTCATCCTCTGAAGGGATTTGCTTTGTGGCTAAATGAGGGGATAGGGAAACCACCATTGGGTGGACAACTATTGCGTTGTCCACCATTGGGTGGACAACCCCAGGGCCGAGTCCAGGGATGCTCGGGGATGCCCCCTTCCCCTGGTTGGGGCCATCTCCTGCCCAGGTTCCCTCCCGCTCTGTGTCTGGCAGCCTCCATCCAAGGATGACCCATCATTTTAGCAATATTTTCTCCGGAGGGCTGTATCAACTGGGCTGGATGCCGCTGAAGCTGCAAGACAGTTGTTTTTCTGTAAAAGTTCCTGGGAAAATCTGATTCGGGTGAATGTTGCATGGAAGAAGTTGTGGGTCAGGGGAAATATGCATTTGAACCGAGAGAACAAATGTGTTAATTCAAAAGGAATTTCTTTAAAAAATGGGGTTATAAGACCCTGGATCAGGCTCTCAATAAAGCCCGTGGGGCTTCCAGAGTGCCTCATTTCTCAGATTAGGGCTCAGCCGCCTTCTCCTCAGCCACTGTGAGAGCGGTGGTGATTCTGGGATTGGGGCTGGCTTCCCTTTGGCACCTTCCACCAGCAGCAACACGGTCCAGGCAGTGTGCCCCAGAGCCCCTCATGCCTACAGCCCTGGGCACCACGCTCTCCTCCTGATGCTCTTGGCTATGGAGCTTCTGCTGGTCTCCAAAAACCAGAGCACCCAGGCAGAGGAGACGTTGTGTTACAACCTAATTTATTCTTGGCTTGACGCTACCCTCAGTACTAATTGCTTTACATTAAAGCATCTGTGAAAAGGAATAATAAATAAATAAAATTGAGCCTGCTGAGAAGAAGAGATGTTACACCACGATGCAAAGCACCTAAAGCAGGGTTGCCTTTCATCTGCAATTCGGAGCAATTCTTCAAACCCGTTGGCCGGCTGCAGCCAGGGGTGATGGGCGTAGTGGGATACGGGCCGGCGATGCTGAGATACGGGTGTGAGGGCCACCACCAGCAGCAGGAAAACATGGGTGAGACTCTTGCTGGTGCCTTGTCCCTTCTCAAGGCATCTCATCGGTGGAGCATTGGCCTCGGGGAGGAAACACAAAGTAGGCTGGTGCGGAACGTGGCGCCCCGAGCACTCATCCCCTGGAGCTGGAGCAAGTCCATCCTTTGCTGGCTACACCTCCGTTTCCTTATCTGTAAAGCAGAGATGAACAGGACAAGCCTCTCCATGGAGAGCTGTGAAGATCTCCAGATAAAAGCGCCGAATACATATGATGATGATTAAAGGCATCGGCGCCCTTTGCTATGCACACAGTCTAAACACGCTCGGGCCGTCCTGGGCTCTTTGAAAACTGTTAGATGTTTTCAAGCTAAAATATTTATTTTATCTGCGCAGAGCCGGGACGGCCCCGTGTCGGGAGATTAGCTCAGCTCCTTCTGTCAAAGGCATCTCGGCAAAGAGTTATGGGCTCAGGCGGGACTCATGCATGGGCTGAACGTGTGGGAAAAAATGCCGGAGCAGCCCAAGAGCCTGACCCTGCTGCCGGCAGAGCCAGAACAGCAGCCGGAGCGCACATCAGCTGTGTGAGAGCACGATGGGTATTCCCCGCTGGAAAATTTGACTCAAAACCCTTGAATAGCCACGTAAGGATGCTGTGTGTCTCCTCTTTGGGAAGACAGGGTCTTGAGGACCTTCGCAGCTGGTAAACTGTGATGTTTAACCAACCGAGGAGGGATGTTGC